ATTCTCATGAATGGTACCGTGCCCTCGACTGGAAAAAATACAACTGGAAACTCTGTATAGCTCCAGCCATACCTGAAACGTTCCTTTATACTAATGCTCAAATACACAGCTTACACGGAGTGTGGTACAAAAAAATGTTGCCTAATTAGGCTGAAAACGAAGGCGGCAGGGGTGCGCTTCCAGAAAAGAAACTTTCTAGAAAAAAAACCCAAGAAGACCCGAGAAATGGAACCAGGGTCAACCGCCCGTTGCGCAAAGAATAACGAGGGGGTCGTATTGGGCGACGGACTTTTGGTCTTTTGGGGATGCACGCGTTTTGGTCTTTTGGGTTCTATACAGAACACATGGCCTACCGTGCACGGAAAGGCCCATCATAGCTGTGATTCTCGCATTACAATATCTTGATAAATTGTTAAGGAAGCAGGATAGAAAGCATTTGCAATACAAAACACTGCTTCTGTCACAGTATCAGGATTGGTTGAACAAAGCACGGATACATACCAGAAATGGAGCAGCGGCGTTCACTGCCTGGAGTACGCGTGTAAGCAGAGTAGCCTTCTTCAGCATTTTCACTTCTTCGGTTCGGAGACGGCGAATTTCCTTCTCGAACGCCTCCTCCCATGCATACATTTTCACAACAGTAATGCCATGTAGAACCTCAAATTAAAGATGGCTAGTAAACAGAAATCAAAGAGACGTAGTCCGAAAGGCTATTTGGTCTAATGCGTAACATCTACTAAGTCATTTAAGAGTTTCTACCAGGATTATTATAAGGTAAGCTTCATGCTTATGTAGAGAATGTGATCGCTTAGAAAGCACAAGGTATTAGGTTGCTGTTCTTTCTTCTTCATTTTCTTTCAAGATTTTGTTTCTTCTTTGGCAAAGTTTACAATAACGTATTCATACGCCATCATTACCGGCTACGTTTTTTCCGCCAGCTTGCATCTTGGGATTGCTGTTTGTTTGGATGTGCTGAGCTCTTCAGGCGGAAAAACACGAAGAAATCCTTTTTAGCACGTTGACGACATCGCGCGTTTTGGGTTTTTGCACCGCGTGGGACCAGAGCGATTTTGCGAGCGCCGCCGCCGCACACAAATCCATGGATTTTGAGCTGTAAATACGCAATACTTAGATGCGATGAAGTGTTTTCAATAATGTTCGATCTGTCTAACTTATCGATTTTACAGTAATGGAAGTTCGACTAAGATGACGTGTTATGGATATGAAAAGGCAAATTCAAGGGAATCCTTGCATGGAAAAATCATGATTCTATTTCAGCCATAAATCACTGGCTTGAGACTCATTATCCACGATTAGTGAAAAGAACAGAAGTATTGCTTTCGTTTTGATTAAAATTCGAAAAATCGAAAGGCTGCTACGCGTTCAAATTGCCCACGGACGTCTTTCACAATGCTGGCGACGGGGATGCTTCCACTTGGTTCTTGGAGTGCCTTCACTAGAAACTCTTTCTGGCCTTCTGCTTTATTGCATTCACATCTTACACTTCTACTCCATCCTATTCTATCGATCGATTTGTCTCTACTCTCCGAAATCGCGCGCTTTAACCCGATTCTTTCATTGCGTCGCCTGATACGTAGCCGGCCAAAGGCCAACTTCTTTCCATGCCTCGCCTTTGGCTCCGCCCGAATTACCTTCGATGTCCATAACGTGTAGTTTTTGTACGTTTGTTTCTCTTCGGAAACCGAATCTTCATGCGTGAAACTTTGTGTGCTGTTTCCAGTGATCACAACTGACACATTCATGTCAAGAAAGAATGCAAGAATTTTCCGCGAAGGATTCCTTTAACAAAGTTCCGCATAAGCGGTATCAAAATTAATTTGGACTTGGTAGTTTCAGTAAAAACATATATCTTGCCATGCGAATAGGTTTGCGTTCACTTCCATTACTCTTTTTATCTAAGTGTCTACGTGAATGGAAAGAAAACAAGGAATGAATTGAACAGACATTTTTGTAAGGTTTGGAAAATTTCCGCGAAGGATTCCTTTAACAAACTTCCGCATAAGCATCTCTGCCAGACTGAAAAATGTTTGGCTATTTTATAAGGCGCGTGGCTCTTGGCTGTAGTGATGTATGGTATGGCTGTAAAATAAACACAGAAAACTTGGGAAGAAATCAGGCATCTGCGCAAAAAATAAATGTAATGGGTGTGGCATACATAGTTGCCACAATGTCCATGAGGTGCAAAATGGCGGCATACATAGTTGCCGCGCTGTCGTCAAGGTGTTGCCAACATCGACATCTCTTTTTTGAGAATGTATAACAGGTCCGAAGGTTCTATGTGGAGCTTGATCTTACCCTGTACCTTCTTCGTTATTTATGGATGTGCATTGTGAGCTCTGTCGCACTTTGCTTTGTAAACACAGAAGCGTTTTTGTAATTATTGCCGACCAGCTTCACCGCTTGATCGAGAATTTTTCGCAGCCATTTATCCTCGATACGAGGCAAAGGATCTCGGCTCACAGAAAACAAGCCTTTCCGGATTACTCACGTCACTGCAGCAGATGTCCAATTCTTCGGAATGCAACGACTGTCTTATCAGTTGATCTGATCCTACGAAGACAATCCCTGTAGCGTCTTACTTTCGAGACAAACGGTTCCAAGGGTGGGGGGGGGCAGCAATAACTGTAGATGTTCTCAGGAACCATAAGCTTTCTAAGCCTTTCCGTGATCAACTAAAGCCTGGTAACAAGTCTTACAAAGGGATCGAACGCAGCCTCTTCTCTGGCAAAACGTTTTCATGCTGCTGTCTCAGGATAATAGCTAATATTCTGAAGCAGGTAGTTATAAATGGTTCATCATTCATGAGCACTGCATATACGAAGGATTTCCTCATTTTATGAAATAGATAGCGGAATATTGTCGCAGCAAGCAACATCATTCTTGGTTTCCACATGCGCCAGAAACGATGGTTGCAGTGTCGTTTGATGGAAAGTTCCAACCGGCTCAGAAAACGAAAAAATCAGGGGATGGCATAAGCAACTAACGCGTAGTATAAGGTGAGTCCAAGAACAGAGCACGACTCATGGTTCAAAAGCTTTCTAAACCCTCGAATACGCTTGCCGATGTTTAGAAAGTGAGCATGTTTCCGGTGGGAATTCGGAGTCAGCGTTTAACATGTTGAAGACACGAAATTGCCTCACCTCTTTCGTGAACTTGACTCGATTGTCCTTCATTTGCATTTGCCTTGTCTGGAAATGTAGAAAATACGTTGGTGGATTCAAACTCTCAGAAACGGAGTGAACCGCACCTGATAGGACTTGATAATGAGAGAAAAGCAGTAATTGAACGGAACGTAGAGAATCATGATGATGACCGCACCAATAACCGGAGGTCCAATCGTTAAATAAACAAGAGATAGAGCGATGGTGACCTGAAAAGTGAAGTGAGATGAGGTGTCTCTAGATTTTTTCCACACTGGCGTGGATGACATTAGGGGCGTTTCATCGAAGAGCCGCGCGGAATGATCTCATATGTGATAAAAGAAGGCATGCTCTTTTAGCAGAGACTGCGCCAATTTTGCGTATGTGGTAAGTTAGGAACCAATAAAAACTGGAGCTGTAAAAGTGATAGACCTTGTAGGTGACATCGCCTAATTGATCTCACAGTCAACTAGTGAACTCAACTAACATTTCTTTTATTTTCAGTGTTCTTTCGAATATTCGAATTATAATATTTTGAAGTCAATCGCAAATGTCCTGCTTAATGGCTCTCAGCCGTTCCCTTCCTTCTTTGTGTTGTTTGACTAATCCCCACTTCAACATTCACTTTCTTCCACACTCGGCTGTGGTAGACTGCGAGTTTGAGAGGCAAATTCCAATTTAACGGGATGTGGGGATAGCAGTAGGTGATATATGATACAACAATGAAGCAAGGATCAGAAGCATTCGCCTTGAACGTCTTGAATAGATCTTCCAGTTTCTAGCGGTTTTCCGGTATTGTATGAGCTAACGGTGGAAGGATGCGGTGCATGAATGATAGGCAATGGGTGGCCGTCAGGGAAAAGATCCAATAGCCTCTAGACTGGTCAAGTCGTGGTTCCAATGCCGACACCTCCTTTCTCTCCTCCCCTTTAGACCTCGTTATGGTACGTACCGCAACCTTTAGCAGGTTAACCCATAACGGACGGCCAGTGTATTTTTCGCGTGCGCCACCATGTGGCGCACGCCGCCACCCAGGGTAGGGTTTATGTAGGCTTATGCGAACAGCAGGGTTAAGACGGGGCTAAAGTAGGTGTCCGTGTCTCATCATCCAAAAGAAGAGATTTCCGTTGACGACAAGTTCGTAACCCGCCTTTCCGCTCTAAAACTAGGGTGCAAAGAATGAATGGAAGCTGTAGGTGACATTATCGAAAAATGCGAAACAACAACCCCGAGCAAGGATGTGGCTATATTTAGGGGAAGGGGTCTCGGGACGTGCGAACCATGGGTAAGCCACCCATCAAATAGTAAACTTATAAAATTATGTAAAATTTATTGTAGGTTTGTCAAAAATCCAGCCGTCCAGGTCCTGGGAAGATATGTTATTCCACATTGCTGAGAGTATATATGGGTATATTAAGATTGCTAGAAACATTCCAAAAACAAAAGAAATAATCGTGCGCCACCATGTGGCGCACGCCGTCCGTTATGGGTTAAACACCTTTTCTCGTTTGCCACTCCTCTACAAGCGAGTTTATCGCAGACTGTAACGTTGAATTTAACGCCAAGAACTATGATGAACTGAATTGAGTATCAGCCTCCATTTATCGTATGGGGGATGGTGAACTGTGATATTTCGTAGTTTGTGAAATGTATGGAATGCTAGAATACCCGCTCAATGTTGAGATGAGGGAGAGTATCAATATATGCAGTGGCGGTCAAAATTTAGTAACCCTCACTTGACTTTCGAATTGAACACGTCGTTATTATGCTTTCAACATTGGCTCTTCAATGACTACTATTATTCGGAGGCGTTTTTCAGCCCAAAGTCCCTTTCGTGCTCCATCACATCTTAGAGGGACCAAACTTAGAGGAGGCTGGACTTTTACTATCAAAAGTCACGATCGTTTGAGCTGCTTGTGAATTTGCCAGCACACTTCTGAGTTGACAATACTGATGAGGATGCAGAATGGTCATCAAAAGGAGCTCTAGAAAACCAGAAGGAACACGACGACACGACGATGCCAGATCATGCTTGCCTGATTCGGGCGCAAAGCATATGTGACAAATTTATAAAACTTTGCGACTCTGCGGAGATGTCTGCATTCATCTTCTTAACAAGTCGGATTTGCTCTGACAAATAGCGACTGGCCTGTTCAGATCCAATATCAGTGGCGCTGGGTAGAGCAGTAAGATTACCAGTCGAGGGGTAGTTGGAGTGTGAGTTATCTTCATTAAAAGCCACAGCGATGAGCCACAATTGCGCAAATAGATAAAGCGTGCGCTCGATATCTGCTGGTTGATCCTCAATGGTGTTCAGGCGTTCGGAAGAGCCCAACCGGAAGTGATCAAGATGGATACTCAAAAAAGGTTCTAGGACAACTTGTAGTTGTAGCCACGAGAAGGCAGTGTGTAAATGGTTCGACTAATCCTCAGGTATGCTGGTGCTACTTCGCAAAACATTTTCACACCTTGAACATTTCTCCTGGAACTTTTATAGCAGGAAATGTAAAGTGAGTCACTAATTATAGGGCAACATTATAACATACACTCACAGGTGTGCGAGTGATACAACGCGGCACCCGATTTTTTGACGAAAAGAAGACTCTCCAAAGAGCGAGGGGAATGAGAAGATCTCTATACCATTGGACTCGTCTCTGTGTCTCGGCCTCTCTGTGGCAAATCTGACTTCATGCAAAACTACAGAATTGGCTGGACGGGAAACCAGTTGATCCGTGGAAAAGGGGACCCAGTTCTTATGATGATTTCATGTTGTCTCCCTTCAAGTCTCTCGCCGCTCGGTATAACTTGCGTTTGTTGAAAAAGTTTCACCGTGTTCATGGCAATCAACATTAGCAAGTTATCTGCATGCACAAATTTTAGTTAAATGCGAGAAAGATAAGCACTACCAATGTGCTGAACATCTTAGTATCGTGTATTGCAAAAGCCATGTTTCTCAACTTCTACAAAAGTACTTGCTCAAGAAATAAGTGTCGATGAACGGGAAAGTTAGGCACATGGATTATTCGTGTCCCATGACTATTGTTTTCCCCTATATTACATTCGAAGTGCGTCCATAACGTTCCAAAACCAGCGGATACCGGTTTTGGCAAGACGCCAGGGAGATTGCCCGCACGTGCTGTATTCTGACATTAAGGAAACCACCAGCGGCTTTTCAAAATTTCCCTATTCCATCTGCAGTTGAACCTCTTTGTCCTATACTAGGGTTGTGTTTACTCCATCGCTACTCTATTCAAACACAACGAGCTTATGATGAAGTTGAATCGAAGTTCTTTGCTTTCTGAAACGATGTGATTGCTTCTAATCGTTCACGCAATGTCTACTGATCTGCTAAACGTGCGCTGTGGAAGTGGTCAACTCTTGAAAGAAAACGCCTTTTTTGATTATCGAAAGCTGTATCCACCAGACACCTCTCACACCTGTGAACTTCACACGAAGACTCCTGCAGTCACCGCCTCCAAAGAATAATGAAATTATGACAACCGTCTTCGAACAGACGTCGGTGTTCTATTGCAACTTACAAAAAAGAAGAATAAAAGTAAAATTAGAGAGAAAAAGGGATTATCTTGGTGGAAATCTAGCTATGGAGGGCAATTTCTTGCTATTTCATCATTGGGCCAAGAGAGCACTCCTTTGGGCTTTCTAGCACTAAGGATAAGATGATATATCAAGAGTCATTACACTTTTGACAAGGTACCGGTGGATGCGCTACATTCCATACACACTACACACCCCATCCGATTTTCGTACCAGGAAATCCTCCCTGGATCTCCTGCACCCTAAAATCAAGGCAAAAATCTCTATTTTCCTAGTTTAGGACCGTTGCCGGCCAAAGTGTGGAAGCGGCTTAGGATGGCCTTCATTCCATCGAGAACACTCCGCAAGGTACGCATCACCCTTCATCATAAGGCAAAGATCGGATCGGCTCTGAACGTGGGTTTTCCAGCCTTCTCGTGTTCAAGCTAGCCGTTAGAGAGAGCTAGTAGCAAATTCTTGCTCTCAGAGCTCTACAATGGCTTCTTGTTGGGACACGCTGTATACTAGCCAAATCACTCTGACAGATGACCCCCTCCCCTTTATGCTATCTCGACTGCTATAAGCTTAGGCAAACTCGGTGATGGCGTTTTCGTTGGGACCCAACTATAATATTATACAATACTTGGAAACAACTTCCGCGCAATCAGTGCAGTATCTTCAGACAGAAAACTCCTCATACTACTGAATCCTTTTACAAAGAACCGTTTTGAAAACACAGCATTCAATAAAATATTTCATGAAAGAGCGTGGAAGTGCAGACTGGAGAAGCAGAACTCACAATGGTGAAGGAAACAATGTTTCCCCTCCCCCCACTTGTGATGATCCGCTTTCAGGAAAAAAAAAGGATTTTCGCATTCCCTGAGTAATATTTGGACATCCCAAGTAATATTTTCCGGTTTCTTCAAATAACGCATCGTGTTTTCCACTTAATTATATGTATATATAATATATAGGGGCGGAAGTGGTGTAGTGGCAAGTGGCACGCTTACCACGCGAGCGGTCCGGGATCAAATCCTGGGTCGTGAGTCGCCCGGGCCAACCAAGCCTTCCATCCCTCCGGGGTCGGTTAATTGGTACCAGACTTGTCTGGGAGGATAAAAACACTGACTTGTACATCGGCTGGCCCCCGCAAGTCATTGTATAGGCCACATCGCATTCAAACGCCACTACGAATGTACAAATGGAAGTAGAATGCGTGCCGCATCCCAAAAAGGATTGATCAACGGCAAATGCTTTATCCTTTATCCTTTTTTATAATATATCGTAGAATTTAGGCAAATTTCAGTTATCAGTTGGCCCCGATAGCTGAAAAATGAAGAAGCTTCCAAACCGGACTGCAACCAGATTTACTTGTGAATAGTGACAGTGAAGGAAATGAACAAACAAAACAAAAAACGTCAAAGCTTCGATTTTTCAGAAGAAATTGAAATGAGCTGTGGGTCACAACAAAGACCTACGAACATTCGAGTACCTCGAGCACAGCTGACCATATATGGTGAGCGATAAGGCGCCGCTGCTGCCAGCGCTTCAGCATCTACCGTCACTAAGTTGACCACTCGACCAGTTGGCCACTGCACACGTGACCAACTCGCAAGACGTAAGCTCTGAAAGCTCAACAAGTAAATCTTGGAAATTTATTTTACAGACTGGACTGTTCAGAATGGTACCTTCTTTGAGACAGAGTTAATAATCAGAGCAAGTGCTGTAGACGCATCCCGAACGACAAGGTAGTTGTGAATACCTAAGAATTTCTCCCACGAAATGACTTCTACGAATAAATATATTATCGAATACGCAATAAATAAGAGATCTAGTTCAAAGTCAGGCAAAGGAGCAGTCGACGCCATACCATTCACCAAGCCACATCGTTCTGAGGATGCGTCTCTTTTTAGTTACATTGAGGGTCGTGATAGTTTTGACTAGAGGATTTTTTGCCTACTTGTTCAGGGTTAGTACGAAGACGGCATCTTCAAATTGGCAAGCCTCAGATGGACTTTGTCTTGGTTAGCTTAAAAATAGGCCGTACGCGACCGCTAGGCTCAGAGATGGCATAACAAAGGATGCCATACAAGTGGTCTGCAAAATATTGGTCCAGAAATTTCTCTGCAGCACTGAGAACCTCAAATATGATGGTGGTTGGATTAAGCATCACAAACTGTAAAGCTCAAAGTGCACTGAGGAAGAAAATTTGGGATTGCCGTTACATGGCCTGCAGCTGGTGTAGCTCTCGAAATGATTCGTAAATGACGCTCGCCTAATTCGTAGCCTTCAAAATCTTAGCAATATAGCAACTTGCAATGAATAGACCGTCGGCTTTCTGCGAGGAAATGAGATTGCAAAGGTTTCTACTCCGTATGGAAGCGCTCCAATTTTGCAAATGTGTATTCTTTGAACTTGGAGACCACAATCGACAGAACTACAGACCCCACACATACGGTCTGTGAGTACTTACAGTTCGCGTGTATTTTAATAGTTACTATTAATCCCTTCCAATCATAAACATCTTGATAAATGAAGCTCAGTTTTATCCGAATTCTTAACGTCTTTTGGGACGCGATCGGGAAACGGACAAATCTCAGAATTGTGAACACAGTCACTAAAACAGGTAAAATTACAAAGAAACAAGTGATAAAAACTGATACCTAACAACACTGATTTGAGCTCTCCACATTCATACGAACATGATTACACAGATTGTGAGGCTCTTTGTTATGACCCCTGGATGAGAAGCTGACTCTATAAGGAATCTGAAAACTTATATTAATATGATATCTTGTGCGGACGATTCATATATCCAGTTTATTGCAACAAGTACACAGTGAGTGGCTAAGCGGGAAGAAAGCGTGCCGTAATGCACTGAACGAAGATTCTAGCGCTAGCATTATGGTGAGGATAAAGTGAGTCTATACCCTGGAATTATATGCACGAGTAGATTCGGTACACCCGTTTCCCTTGCCGACGGTAGTTCGACGGCAAGGAAAACGGGTATAGCGTTTCGTGGCGAAAAATTTGGTTACATAGTCCTTGACTGAGGCAAGCGTCAATGTAGGTGACTACATTGGTCTGGGAAACCACTAGAAGAAATTAATAATTGAAGACGATGTTGGACCGAAATATCACGGAAGTTCTTGAATGAATTCTTTTTGATTTTTTGGCTGGTATTTTGGGCTTCTTGGACTTTTGTTGACTTCTGGAATTTTTTTGAAAAATATATTTGGTGCCTCTCTGTGCTATACAATTAAGTCCTGATGACGTTCATGGACAGCACAATACTGTCTGATTAAAGTAATGCAGTTATGTAAACTCCATTGCAAAATACGAAGGTGAAGCAATCGCTCCGTCTCCGAAACTGCTCCACCTTAGCGATGTTGACGGCACCCTTGATGAAGTTTATCACAATACTTCACATTCAGCGGCTGGATGATGGCCAACATGCCTATGAGGATATGATGCTTGCTTGCTTGTGAAGTCAACAAAAGTTATTTTCAATCATGTTGTGCCGGAATCCAAGAACCGGCACAAGGTAATAGAAGCTATTTACATGAGCGAAGAATCAACTTCTCACTTGAGCAGTAAGGGGTTCATAAAATCGAACACTTCAGCAAGCAGTTTTGAAAGCACTGCACCAAACACGGACCAGCGATATCTGACCAAAAGCTTTCGAACTATTCCATCTTTAGTTCCTGAACCGAGAGTCATATATCATTGCTACGTACATCATATATCATAGAACCTACCAATTTTCCACTTTCTGAGAAGGTTTATGGACCGATATTTCTGTTTCAGAGATGGAAGATCATCGTATATGAGAGTCTTCTTCGATCCTGAAGTGACCAAAAGCGTGAGTATGTTTTTGGTTGCGCCTAGATCTTGCTATAGTTTCAAAGACTTCATCTTCTGGAGCCCGAAAAGCTTTGACGAGCTCAGAAATTTTGGAAATTCTCCTGCGGAAAGGCAATGCTACAATGTGTGTCCAAAAAAGGAAAAAACATGAGCTTTTGACTAAACAAGTCACGCAGCCTCCCATTCAAAACCTGTGCAGCAGTACGTAGTTGACAACACTAAGATTGAGGTCAAGTATGTGATAACAATTCGAACCTTTCTTCAGCAGAGGACTGAGCCAGAACAGGAAAAAGCGAGAGAACAACGACCTCTTTTCATCAAGAAGCGAGACGTTTGCACGTGATATCCTGCTGATGTCCGACAATTCCTTACTATGGCGTGACAACACTAGCGCTGAAAATATCACGTGATGTAACTACATTGAGCTACACAGGTAATTAAGAACAAACTTTGAAACTTTCAATGTACTACTTTTCAGTTACATACACTACCCTATACAATGTCTGCCAAAGCTTAAGGAGGAAATAAGTGGAAGTTTGCACAACACAGCAACAACCAAGTGAAAATCGAGGAAATTCACAAATTCATGTTGCCAGGGAGCTCGAGTTCAGAAATCTCACGAGGATAGTCTTTCTTGAAACGCTTGATTGCATGATATAGTGGTACGTGCATGGAACACAGAACTGTAGTTCATTTTTCCTGAGCGGCCTCTGAATACCAAAAAAGGGGATGAAGTGGTCCGTGGTTCGAATCCTCGCAGTGACAATTTTTTGCATTTTGTGTTGGCGTTTCAAAATTCACGAAAAATAGCGTCAGCGTGAACAACTTATGTCATATCTATAATTAGGACCATCAGCAACCTTTACGTAGGCTTTGACTGAAAAAACTGGTGGAGAAAGTTGCGACACCAAAACGGCGCCGTTGTAGCGCCCAATGGCGTCATAGCGAATTCAAATGACGTTTACGCCAAAAACTAATAGAATATTCGTAATCAGGACGCCGAATAACCCCTACCCGAAAGTTTCAGAGGAAGTTAACATTTCGACCCAACTGAACAGTTGGACCATGAGTAAATCAGTACAGTACTCGCCGTTTGAAACGAAAATTCACTCGATCCTGCGATTTCGGTTATTCTCGTGAATTCGTTACGACACGGTTCAAAATTGAGTTTCACAAAACCTCAAGGTATTTTTGAACTTACCTTGTCGGGGACTATGATGAATTGTTTTATAATTTCAAAATAACTTCATATAGTATTGAGAAACAACCCGAGCTAAAACATCGCGGGACTCGCGTAAATTTTTGATTTCAGACGGCTGGTGTCCGCCATGCTCAATGTAGATGATTTGAGGGTATCTTCTTGTAGTCGTAGGAAGTGAGAATGGAAAGAAGGAAGATGAAATGGGAATTCCTGCTCATAATGAACAATAACAGACATCGAACTGGTGATGGCCAAAATCCATGACTATGGCGCTAGGTTCTCCTCCTTGTCTAACAGTGGTAGGTTAAACTTCTAGCCTAGCTTACCTGGCTGGGCCTACTGCCGACTGATAGATTGGCTTTGAAGAAACTACATAGTTGAGACTGGTCCTGAAAGAACAATCGCGGTTTCCTTAATTAATTAAGGACGCACGTCCCAGTTTTCCACGTCTAGCCCTTCTCCACCATACGCGAGCACAATGGGTCCCACAAGTTATGTATGGGCTGGTCGAATCTTTCGTAATTATCGTGTCGTGTTGGAGGATAATATCGAGCCTTTTTTGAGCTAGAAATTTATCGAATACAAGTAATGCCCAGGAAATCCGCATATCATTTAAAAGTACTTTTTCTGCTCTTCAACGCCTTTTTTGTTTTACTTCTATATTATAGGTGTACTCAGGATATAGTGCTTAGAATTTGGAAAATCAAGGTGAGCAAAAGTTTATATAAAGGAAAAAGCTGTCGAAATAGGACAACCTCAGAATCTATCGTCGTCATCGAACCTTACTCCAGTCTACCCTCAATTTCGAATCATATTCACGTTGTACGAATTGAGGATAATGGACTCTGAAAACGGGCTGAGCACCCTTTTTTGAATTTTGAACCCGGTAATTTCTTACGAAATGGAGTCACTGATTAGTTTTGTGCATGGTTCTGCTTTTGGGTTTTGCTTTAAACTGGCTTTTGCCGAATGCGAGCGCATATTATGCGTTGCTTATGCTTATGCTGAAATTTATAAGAACTACACTTTTATGAAAAGAAATCTATTTTGAACTCCTGCCTGGCATACTACGATATTTTTTCTCTCCCTCGTCCTCAATACGAAGCAAACAACGTATAGAGAAAGAAACAACGTCAAGAAAACACAAATCAAATGCTATATGAATAGAGGTGCCAGGACGCACTCTCACCATCATTTTCCTTTCGCCTTGGGAAAAGGTTTAAAAAAATACGGCAAAGTTAAAGAAGTTAGAACGGCATAAGTTTTCAGCGGTCCCTCTGATTTTTTTAAAACCGTAAACCAAAAAGAGTGTCCAGCGGCCCTCTTAAATTCTCTTAGGACAGCACATGACAGACCGTCCAAGCAGCAGACGTCGCTCATCATACGAAATATGATGACAGCTCTCACTGAGTACGCTCACTTTCAAAGGATATTGATTTCCCGTACTCGGCCTTGGTAAAATTTGCATTATTTCTCTTATGATTTGGCACTTACTCCTCGGTTAGAGGGATTTTTCCTGCTTACAGCATGTTAGCTGCTTTCCCTTTTGGGCCCAATGACCTGTGCACCTGTATACGGCTAAACTAATTCCACCCATTTGATCTTTAAAAATAACGTGCGGCGAGAGACATGTGTGAACTATTGATTTTTGCACATGGGCATTTTGCAAGTTTTGAAAAATTTGTAGATGGAAGTAATTATATTCATGCGTCGCAGTGTGCCTAGCGGAACGGAAAATGCTCTACTACCCCTTTGGTGTAGTGGCAAGTGGCACGCTTACCACGCGAGCGGTCCGGGGATCAAATCCTGGGTCGTGAGTCGCCCGGGCCAACCAAGCCTTCCATCCCTCCGGGGTCGGTTAATTGGTACCAGACTTGTCTGGGAGGATAAAAACACTGACTTGTACATCGGCTGGCCCCCGCAAGTCATTGTATAGGCCACATCGCATTCAAACGCCACTACGAATGTACAAATGGAAGTAGAATGCGTGCCGCATCCCAAAAAGGGATTGATCAACGGCAAATGCTTTATCCTTTTATCCTTTATTTCACACTTCATTCGTGATTCTCTAAGCATCATCAAAAACTGCCAAAAGAAAAGGTCATCAAAAGAAACGACCTCCTCAGCCTCCACAAATACAACGCCTCATTCGTACTTTATTCCAAACACACTTATGCTTGCTCAATCCTGAGTGCAATCCTCCCTTCCCAAATTGGAAAATGCGTCTCGCTCATTCGAATAGTGCGAACGCACTGCTACTTATACATCGGTGCTTATTCATACGAATATTCCCTGCAGCCAGGTACTACACATACACTCAAAATCAGTACAATTGGAGAAGGCCGGACACAAACTGAGCCACATCTTTTAAAACTCGGGTAAAGATCATTACACGAGTAAGTCTTTTCTCAGCAGCCGTTTTTCGCTCTCGCCGCCGTCTTTCACGCTTGGAATCGTACGCAGCTAAACTCGTCCCATGTATCATAGTTGTACAACCTTGCTGTCAGTGTTATCCAATACGCTGTCGAGAGGACGATGCTAGGAGTGAATCCTATACACGAAAGCGGGAATCCGGAGTTCCGAACTACGCCAACGCAAAAGATCAGGGACGCTGCCGTTTTCGCCAAGAATCGGAAACCAGATATGTCGGACACGTTACGCGACTTTGTTATGAATTAATAAGGAAAGAGTAGCCATTCGTAATAAAATTACACCTATATTCGCAGACGTGCTTTCGGGCGCTGTCACAAATCTC